GGTTAAGTCGCGTATTAACTAATGACGTATATTGAATTTTGTAGACATCGATTTCGCAGTTTTCGATTGGAAATTGTGTATAAAACCCGTTCTTGGACGAACTCAGTAAAAATAACTATTTAAACTCCCAATAGGACAAGTGACAATGCAAAAGTTTGCAAACAAAAAGTAATTGAACGAGCCTATCACCAAGATTGATTAATCTTTTATAGTTCCATTTTCTGTTATATACGACAATTGTTAAAGTAATTGCAATCATCTACCGTATACCTGCTGCTAAAATTTTGCTCTTGCAACTGACTTAAAAGCGCCAATACGCGTATACCCTACGGAAGACGATCCCAATTTTGAATATTTATATATTATATTAAAAGTCTATATCTAGCAATAGCTCAGTGATTACTAATTATCCGTAAGTTTTTTTTCACGTGCATAAAAACAAAAAAAAATAAAATAGTTTTCAATAAATTACCAAATGAAATAACAGTGATAAACTGATAATCCTACGGAGTTGAGTTAGCAAGAAAAGTATATATTATATTCTCTCGTTTTGTCACTATCACCATTCTCGTTTTGTCAGCTCCCAAAACACCGATAAAAGTTGATTAGTTTTTATAACAGGCCATTGGAGACGATTCTTGGTTCGAGTTATAAGGGTAATTGGCATCAAATGACATGGACTAATACGTCCCAATTACTGATTCCATGGTAATTATTATTCTCATTAGAGGTAGGTACTCAGATACCATATAAATGATGTGCCCCATAATTTACTAGGTATTTATTTAATCTCAGGTTTTTCAATTGCAATATGCCTACTTTGTTGTAACTTCTAATTTACATAAAAAGGATTTTTATTTAAATACATTATTATAGTTGAATTAAATACGTATATGGCTAGTAATATCTAACAGTAACAATATATTATAATGTACAGGAACATTGGAAAAAATTAAGAAAAATAATAAAGGCATTCGCTAGTCTAATTACAATGGGATTAACGTATTTGTTTTTAACTTATAATATCATTAGCGACGCAAAACTCGATTTGATTATATTTCATCGAAACGATAAAAAAAAACAAGGGATGTTTTTGTGTAATTTTGTGGTAAACGATTAGAAATATTTTAAGGAAAAACGTAGTAGGTACGTTATTCTTGTATTATTGATGATTCGTAGAATCGCGAAACATCGATTTTTATGTTATCGTTCTTATATATTATTATGTTTTTTTAATGTTTTAGTATCCATTAAACAATTATTTGTCATAATATATTAATATACGTTACATGTAACTATTAAACTCGTATCAAATTTATAATAGAATATATATTTTTTTTTAAAGTTTATTAAGGCTTTACCAATACAGGTTTTTAGCCTACTTTAATCAAAATTTATACAAGAAAAAGAAAGGAATATATATATGTGTACATTAAATTTTGGAATACATTTTACTACATTATTATATATAGAATATTTTATATCACTAAATATACTTTACTTATACTTCAGTAATATTACAGTTGTGTATTAATTGCCTATATTTAATAAAACGAGTGTAGTGAATTTATTGTATAGGTACAGTTAAAAAAACCAGTCACATATTTTTGTTTATTTTAAATTCTAATCGAATACGTATTTGTTTTAATTAAATCTACACACGTTATAGTTAACACTGTCACCCACTGTATGAAAATATTATTAATCAAGACACAACAGACAAACACAAAAATAATATGAATACATTATTTCGAATCCGTGTCGAGTATCCACTATACATAGTTCTCACCAAGAGAAACGGTCGGTGATAACGGAATAACGTCTTAAATATTAATCGATTTGCAATATCATCGTTAATATTATATTACAATATACAATTTATGACGAAAGTAAAAATATAATACCATCAGTATATAAATGCCCAATTGTCAATAGTCGTCAGACAACTTAATGATACATCACGACGAATATATAGGTACAGATATTTGTACCTAGGTACATGATGATTGACGATTACACATCATATCGTTGATTATAAATATTAACTATASCTACACATAATTTACAATCAATGATCGTGTAACTATGACTTAATCATTCTAAACAACGATGTGGTAAAGTTCCGTTGTGACCTGYAGTAGGTCCTATCTATAGTGTATCATCGTTTTGCCAAAGAGTTCCATAATATTATTATAATAAGTAGGTGCCTATACCTAACCATACCACGACAGTACTTGGTATCGCTGTTAATCCGACGTCTTTAACTCGGTTTAATTTAACTGTTCGTACGCGCGTGCGGTCATGTTCGGTGGAAATAAAGATAATCGCAACCATTCTCCAAGCCTTCTCCTCCGTTTATTGCGGAAAACCTACCGTCATCGACAGTTCTCATTGTTTCGGCGGCCGCAAAACGACACCCGGGGGAGTGCACGCTCGCTATGCGGTTGGCTCCGGTTCAGTCCACGACCGTTATCGTGTTTGAATGATCACGCGTCTAACTCGTGCACGCGCCTGTGTATGTGTGTTTATATACAGGGTGAATTACCAAGTATGCTTACCCCTATTTTCCTTAGTAATTCAGTTATTTAAAATTTTATTATTGGAATAGTAATAATATCAGTAATATTAGATTATTGAAGCATATTTGCACGAAGTAGATACTACTGGAGGAGTGTTTTATGGGGTTACAAACTTCTGTTTTTCTAAAAAGACTGGAAGAGATTTTTTTATACCATAATCCATTCAGCGGATCATTTTTCCAGCCATCTTGACGTGTCAAAATTTGAACGAGTAGTTTTCRAGTTATTTAACTTTGTGTATTAGGAGGAATACTCATATGTGATAATGAGTTTGGAAGATAAATGGGGTAGCGATTTGAGAGCACAGTATTGAATTCTAGGTGCAAATATCAAATATAAACTCCATCTATTTTATAAATTTTGGATTACGTACACAAAGTTCTTAATAAAAAAATGATCTTCTAAAGAATTTACATTAAAAAATCAAAGGGAAGGATTTCTTTCACAAACTGAAGTTTTATAACTTTACAGGATGCTTCTCAAGTGGTAGAAAAAATCTCAAGAATTGTAAAATAATAAGGTACCTATAAATTCAGTATATTTAAAAGTCCAAAAACCAGAATTTAAATTAATGTATTGCTTATAAAGAAAAATCCGTTGTGAATCATCCTGTAGTATATACGATAATAATTTGATACATTATTATGTTTTTCTGAGAAAATTATCCCCACGTGCCCTGCACAAGACGGAGACTGCAAGGAAATATTGTGTCAATGATGTAGAATCGTCTACRTATACATATTGCATAATATAAAGCAGCGGCGGAAAGAAATTGGTAAAATATACTGTGGACAAGGAGAATTTAATTAAATCGATTCGTGCGCCAAACGATATTTCATTCGGTTGGACCTCGTCGCTACATTTTTATATTTATATTATTAGGTTTTTATTTTTTATCTTTTGTTTCTGAATAAATCGCACGGGTAGTATTGTTATCTTTTTTCCATATATTTTACAGGCGTGTATATTAAAAACGATCATAATATAAATTGCAAGTTTACGACGCTTCGTGGGTTACTTTCTTATAATATTATTAAATACGGAACGAGAAATTTTATAGCAACGATATTTTGTTAAATTTCTGTATAATTTTGATTTGTTTTGTGAAATATGTGAGCTTCAAGATTATATAGCTACATTCGATTTCCATCTGATATTCTTTTACATAATTTAATCAACAACTTTGTTAAAACTTTCATTATTTAAAGTTACTTTTTCTGTTTAATTTTTTTAAATATTAATACTKAATTGTTAACACCCCAGGAATAGAAAAACAAATTATGAAATGTGAGATAATATTCTTATATTATTAAGATGCTTATTCTTACAATAACAAAAAAATCTTTTCAAAGTTGAAAAATAATTTTAAAAGCATTTTTTAGTGTATTTTAAAAAAAATTGTTATGAGTGCATTAACAAATTTTATTTAAAAATGTTTAAGTCATTTTTCTTGTTTTTTTAGAGAATTTGAATCCGTCCACTACTTATAATTAGAATTAAGAAGTTGCACAACTGTTTGTAGGTACTTTAGATGTGATTTACTGTATAAATATATCTTTTCAAAAAACTTTTATGATATAGGTACTATTAAAACAAATCAGTTATAAAATAAATAATATTTTACTTTTATAAAATTTTGTTTAAATGAGTAGATAATATTAAAAATATTATAAATTGAATATTTTAACTCGGAAAATAATTTTCTATAATATTCCAAATTTAAACTAATTAGACACTTGAAGAAACTTTTAGTTTGAACCTTAATATAAAAGTAAATTACAAGTACCTACATTAAGGCATTAAGCTTATGGTTATTTTTACCTAGTGAAAAAAATATTTATCTTATATTCACATTATATAAAATAATAATATTATAACGAAAATTAATAACAAAATTAGGTAGCTTTTAATCCGTATATTATATAATTACTTTTACATAGTCAATAATGCTAAATATTTAAATAGATCTTCGTATATGTACGTTTCAGCATGCATAAAGAATAAGGCAGTACTTAATTCGCTTTTACAACTTTTTTTTCAACTTAGTGTCACAATATTTCTGGAATTCTAATGAAACTTATAGTACTTCTTAGCATAAATCAACGAAATACATCAAACTTAATAATATGCAGTTTTTAGATCATAATATTATACTTATGTATATGATATAGGATATAGACTATATAGTTACTGCTATCYTCGTTGGAAATCCAGAAAAATAGTGACACCAAATTGTCTCCTTTAACATATTTACTTTAGGAAATAAACTGAAAATTAAATTAGTTTTATCTTAAAAATATTTTAAGTATCTAAGACCTAAGAGAGGGATTTATTCCCCATAGATCGCTTCTTYTTGTATCCATGCGTGTAGTCAATATAATTTACAATGGATGTTATTTTAATCAATACTTTTATTTGTAGGAAAGAACAYAAAGAAATGAGTTCATTAGTTGGCTGAATAAATTAGTGAAGAGATATCTCCGAATCTAACTCTGATATCAAAATGTCCAAGAAAAGCTACAGGTATTTCAATTAATATTTTAATAACTGTAATTTTTAAATATAAAGTTCAATATATTGATTTAATTTGAATGAACATAGGGGAATTTAGGAAAATATCCTGAATGTGTGGCACTGTGTACACTAATGTTTGAGAAATTATAATAATTTAATACTATATGCACAATGTATAAATAAATAAGATGAGAAATCCTAAAATAAAAACCTGGAAGCATTATTATTTACAACTTTTACTATACAAATAATGAGTCTCTTTGAATTTTACAATATTCAAATGTTGTAACAACAATAAAAACTAATAATACTCTATACCATTATGGTTATGAAAAAACTGGTTTAAACCTGGTTATATATGGTGCATGTAAGTAGGACAAGGTATTATGAAAAGCTCATTTTAAAACCTTGTCATATCTTCTGTACTATATTATTATTAGGCTATATAGATACTTAATACGCGTTTTTATATACAACATTTTATTTTATTGGACCCTGGTAAAATAATACATGATGCTTATGTTAATACTGTTAACTTATAATAGATATTTGAGTGTCTAAAAAAGTCAATTTGTATTATTTCTAAATATTTTTAAACATAAATAACATACAATGAATTTTATTTATTTATTAATTTAAGTTTTACTTAATATAATATATAGAATACATGCTCTATAGTAACTATATACCTATAGCATACTAATATAATTTATGTTTTGATGAAGACACCATTTTCGAATAGTATAATGTGGTAAAATGCACTATTAATATATACGTATGTACAATATTAAGTTGAGATATTGAGTTTTATGTAAAATCTTGTTTTCAAATTAAATAAACTACGAGTAAATACGTACTTAACTGATCCTGGTGACCGAAAAATATAAAAACGATTACATTTTTATTTATGATTTTTATACCAATTAATAAAAACTAACAATTCAAGACAAACATTTTCAAATATATTTCGTATAATATATATGGTAAACATATACAGATACAACAGATAGGTAGATCGTAGGTACGTACGTGAATAATGCCATCAATATATTTTAAGTTATTATCAGTGCGTTAACTATACTTCTGAGTAAGTGGGTACTTAAGTTTAGACATAGAAAAATGGTAGTCGAAACGATAAATTTGCATATAAATTTAACACATTTTCCAGCGGTGATAATTTAGAATTAGGGAAAACTCGAAGTCTTTATACCCAGTGTAATGAATCGCTTTTGGTAAAATTGACTTATTAAATTTTTTGAATTAATTTAACTCGTGAAGATAATATATTACATGGGTATACATTCGAAGCTAATTATTATTTTTACATAATTTTTGTACAGTGTAATTCACTATATAATATACACGCTTATTTCCATTTTCCCTTTAATTACAAAACTTATTTGAAAACGGATTTTTGGAATTTTTAAGTTTACTAGAAAAATTTTTTAATAATATTACATATTATGATTTTTATACCATTTGAGTTCCTCAAAAAAAAACAACTTACTTGTTTATTACAATAAATTGAAAATTATAACTATAATATGCTACGCCTAATATTAAATAATGCATATTATTTTGTTTGTTCGTTGTGATTTTCAATATAATAATACATGTAAACATTTTATTAATAAGTGTTCTTACTGATTTTCTATGCTTCTGTGCATTCATCAATTGGAAACTTAACACTGGTTGGAGAACACAATATGTTTTGAATATTCAGTATGTACAAAGCTAGAGTTTAATACCAAATGAATTTGATTAAATGTGTTGTTTTAGATTTGAAGATTTAATGTAAAAATTAATATTATCGTATTAGGTATAATAATTAAATTCTAAATACCTCAATAATATTGATACCTAAATATTTTGTACAATAATTTGTTCTTTTTCATTCTTATTTATATTCAAAATTTAAGTATATGGTTCTTTCTACTATTATTATATTATGTTCAAATATTTTATCATAATCGTTAGCATGGCAAAAACTGTTCAGAATATTTTCTGAGATGAACCGATGCTTCGTGTTGTATACTAAAATTCTTAGGTTAGCCTCTATTTTATATATTATAGTTCAGCAGGGCTGATGTAATTTCGCTAATTTTCCACTATAGGATTTTTTTCTTTAGTCTTTGAGCCTTGKTCTTAATGACTAATGCAATTATCACATTGTGAAAAATGAAACAATTTCCTTTGTGTCATGTTTTATTGTTAGGTATACATTTTACGTAATATACATAACGCTACCCGAATATCGTTCATTAGTGAGTATATTCGACGGAATTACTAAAATTCACGAGTTTTTGATAATAAAAAATCAAAGTATGTTTAAAAAACTTAAGCTTTGACAACACAATTTTAGGATCCAATATTGAAAACGAGACATATGAATAAAAATMATTAATATGTTTTTAGTAGGGTGAGTTATTATTAAAGAGTAAAAAAACTGTAACCCTAACCGATTTAATGATGTATTGTAAATACGTTTAATCAAATAATTATTTCATCTAAATATACTTATATAAGGATAAGGTAAAGGCAAATTAAACTGTATTTCTGGCTATAGTTGCACACGTTGAGACTAACAATTTTATCATTAAAGCTCTCCGTTTGCTTGTTTAAATATATACCTATATAAACAATTATAAAATATTCGTTTTGAATAAACTACGTTCATAATTTAGTTCTATAGTACATTTATTATTGAATTTTCTGGTGTATTTGACAAAATATGTACCTATATTGCAAACCTGAATAACATAACAGTATTAAGGAACTAATTGACAATTCAGGAAATGTTGTTTACTTAACTAGGTAGTCACCAGCACTTGTGAATTTGTAATTTTGTTAACGGATTATTTCGTCGTTATTATTGTTTTTATCAAAACACCGCAACTCCATATTTTATTTAAGGTCTTAAAATTATATGAATTCCTTCAAACATGCCTAAGAGAACTGACAAAGTAAATAACATGTTTCTGTCATAAATAATGCGTCTATCTAATGTAATACTGTAAATAAATATATTCATTGGGATGCATTTTTAAATGAATTTTAGTTTAAATGTTTGTTCTTAGAGAAATATACATATATTATCTACCTAATAAAAGGTGTCCGAGATAGGAATCTTAAATCTAATCTAACCTTAAAAGTTTAATACTTTCTCACATGAAGATAAATATTTTTTTTGATATTTTATATCTCCTTGAATATTTTGAAATCAATTATTATTCTATCGCAATATTTTAAATGACAAACATTGTTGAAATTTTCGGATCTATAAATGAAATTGAAAAAATGTACCTATAATACTTATATAATATTAGATCTATAGTCGAACAATGTAATTTTATTTTGAACAATGATTAGTGATATTTTAAATATCAAATTTAGTAATTAACTATTAACTATTTATATCAATCAATAAACAAATAATATTTTTTGCTTAGGGTATAGGTAAATCTCTTCTACAACTTTTTTAAATATTTTTTTTGTATTAATTATTTTCATTAAACTGGAAGACTACGTTCGTTTAAACACGGTATTTTAATTAAACTGTACAAATTCCATACCACTTATTATTACGTTTGACTGCACAATAGATATTGAATATAATTTTATAGTAGTTTAAAAAAATATATAAAGTAATTTAATTAGTTTATATATTTTTTTAAACTACTATAAAATTATATTCAATATCTATTGTGCAGTCAAACATAATAATAAGTGGTATGGAATTTGTACAGTTTAATTAAAATACCGTGTTTAAACGAACGTAGTCTTCCAGTTTAATGAAAATAATTAATACAAAAAAAATATTTAAAAAAGTTGTAGAAGAGATTTACCTATACCCTAAGCAAAAAATATTATTTGTTTATTGATTGATATAAATAGTTAATAGTTAATTACTAAATTTGATATTTAAAATATCACTAATCATTGTTCAAAATAAAATTACATTGTTCGACTATAGATCTAATATTATATAAGTAATTAATTTAAGTTACTTTAATAGTTTAATGAGCAGAAATTACAATTGTTCGAAAATATTCATTTTACCGCCTATAACTCATAAGTAGTCGTTACTTTATTACATTTTGTTTGAGGAATGGTTGTTGAAGGATGTGAGAAGTGAATCTTAGGTTGTTTTCAACAATTCGAAGTCACCATTCTTTTATTTCTAAAATTAGAGCACTGTAAATTATTCAGCATTACGAAAGAAAATATAAATATACATAGGTATATATATTTTTTTAAATTTAATAAGCCTCTGCGTCTATGCCCATTAGCATACAATAAAATATATTATTTTAAGGAATATTATGCATTTTCATTTGTCATTGCTAATTAAATTTTATGATGATGAAATATTATAATTAAGAGTATTTATTATTACGAGTTATACTAATATATGCTGCAAATAATGGAAATAATAGGTTAATTGTATTCTCCTTAATTTAAATTTATAGCTTTCATTATTTTGACATATTTTATAAGAAACCAGTGATAACATTTTTATAATTTAATATTCTTCATGGTATGAATAAATTAATTTAAGAAATTATTTCAAAAAAGCATATTTTTTATTTCATATTGAAATATTATTTCAAGTTCATTTGCATATATATTTTTGAGTAAACAAAACTTGTTAAATTATAAAGCTGTAAGTTATTGAGTGGAACAATGAATGTATAGAAAGTATTAGATTAACAATCTTGTTTTATGATCAAAGTGCACCGAGTGCAGTGAGGAATAAAATCATTTTTCAATTACGTTTTCAATATGAATGAAGTGAAATGCATCTATTAGTTTCACATTGATATATATTTTTTAAAACATTCTGCGAAGACATGTTTTTTATTGGAAAAAAGAAAGAATTATCCTACAACTTTTTGTGGCATTTTCATAGCTCATAACCTAGTCTCTTATTAGATTAAAAGAAAACTCGTTGTTTGTTTAGAAATATCATGAGAAAGAAAAATGTACGTATTCAGCTTACCAGATATCAA